CGACGCACGTCGACGCGCTGCAATTGCAACAATGCTCCAATGCGACAGACGCAAGCGCAGCCGCGCAATCGAACAGTGCGCTTGTGTCTTAAAAGAGAGAGTATGGGGGGACGGGTTACGCCTAATCACGACGTCTGCTATCTATCCACACTGGCCGCTGGGGCTTTAGTGAGGTAGAGAAGAATGGAGGGTACCAGAATGAAAGAAGCGCTTGCGCTCATGTGTTCCTATACCCTACCAACACACAATCGTTCGGCGCCAACCGTTTCCCGTTTGATGCTGCATTCGCGTCCTGGGACTAGAGCACTGCTGCAATCGCAGCGCGTCGAGGCGCGCTACAGCGCGTGGACGCGTGTCACCCCGAAGCCTGTACGCTTTCTGAAACATGCAGTTACCTTCAAATTAAACATTAGAATTGTAATACTGAAAGGAGACAAAAATCAACGCGGGACGCTTGGATAACTTGGAAAGTCTTTGAATGAAAAATCTCCTCCGCAATTTAACATTCAAGAAATTTTGAAAACGTAAGCAAAGAAATGCTAGTGCCAATGAATTTTTAGCCATGTGGTCAGGTTTGTTCCTTATACTAATTCTTGCACTGATTACCCAAAAATGTTCAGGTGAACTCTGAGGACAGTACGACTAGTTCCAATGAGCCTCCACCAGCAACTGACTACGGTAAAGTGCCCTTCTCTGTGGACAATATTTTACAAGCAGCAACGAATCCATGGCTTGGATTCCCGAACGCCTTCAATCCGCAGTTTCCTGCACTCCTGCCAAATTTCCAGGCACTGGCTTATCAGAATTACCTAAATTCTGTGTATGCCTACAACGCCGCTCTGCTTTTCGGGAACGTGGGTTTTAATTTTTTTTACCATTTTTTATCTTTGTATTCTGCGATAAGAAATCAAAAATCAGGTTGTTGGGTTTGGCCAACGCTAACCCGGTCCCCCCCCCTGAGCTTGGAGGCGCACTCCGTTACGTAAGCAAGGGATTCAAAAGCAAAAGTTCAGGTGGTTTCTGCGTTAAGAAGCAGGGAGAGAAAAATATCGACCCCCAGTAAGGGATTATTCCTGCCATCGGTGGCGATCACTGGAAGAACGTGAGATGGTTAAGAGCAACTGTAAGACCCGAAAGGCGACGATACTCTGAAGACGCAAGAGATAAGTCAAGAAACGACGGCTGGGAGTTCACAGCTGGTCAGAAAACGACGGCTGGAAGTTTACAGCTGCGTTATTGTGATGACACAGCGGCATTGGCAGCCATTCGCTTGGCCACCTGGACCCAAATGATGAGCTTGTAGCCCGCTTCCAGTGCACCTTCAAACCGCGAAAAGAACACTTCCTTTGCGGTTGCAGATCCAGGTTGCCTGTAAGGGTAGGGAATCGGGCACTTCGCTTCGAAATATGTTTTTAACATGAGAAAGCCCGTCATCTAGAATTTATCCCATCTTTTCTCTTCTAAACAAAGAATAAAGGGCCAGTGCGAACGACCATTCCGCGATGTACCGCACGTTCAATAACTCATACAGAATTGATAGA